CAGTGCTAAAGTCGGACGTTAAGATCTAACTATCTAGATCTAACTGGCTCCAGTAACTATAAATTTCTCTTGAAACTCACGGCCTCTACGTTATAATAACCAACCTGAAAAGGTCTCGAAAGGAGTGTTCAACGGATTCTTCTCATTAGAAGGGCAGGAAATGTACCTGAAATAATACAGAGATGATGGGTACTTACCAGTCCATTTACAGGGGAAAACCAGAAATTCCCCATGGAAAATCAAATGGCACGCGCAAATCTGTTTGGGAAGCTTGAGAAAATATGGGCTGTAATTTAAGACGGTGCAATTTTTCTACTCTTTTTAGTCTTTCAGCTGATTTATGGGGCAGTTCTCCCACCTCGTCAAATTTTGTAGTTTTATTTGTAATCACAAGATTTCCACCCAGGTGGTTTGTGTAAATGGTAAGCAACCGGTGTCTCTGACTAAGATATAATCTTGCCAGGTGACAAGCACACCAGTGGCATACCACTGACCCAACAGCTAACTGAGGTTCAAGAGGCACTTACAAACCTTCAAGCGCAAGTGCAAAAGATACCAGAGAGCCTGCAGGTAGCCAGAGGCAAGACTGATATGAATACCAACGGTCGAAAGGACTTTGACATCTCCATGGAGTCCGAACTGTCAACTTTTCAACAAGAAACATAGCATTGTATTTTAGCTATGTAGAATATTGGCCATTTTCTATTAAAATGTTGAACGAAAGACTGGGTCGATGTGTTTTTGGAATTGCATTATGGAAATGTTTTGGGGGTTAGCGCTTCTACTATTGTCCACGGCTTCGCTGCTCGTGTGTTCGGCCTTCGGCCGAAGATGTGTCGGAGGCCGACACCGAAGCATTTCACTTAACGCGAGAGACAAACCTCTGGTACCCAAAGTAGGCCATCCCACCTTTGAAAGAAAAGAGTCCCATAGTGGAGATTAACACTAGACCGATCCCTTCACACAAAACAAAGCTACAATAATTTTGAAAATTGGTCTCACACTCGAAATGATGCAACTTTTAAGCGGTCTTTACATAATATAGAGTAATCATAA